CCACCTGTTGAAGAGGCACCGGGGTCTGTTTGTTTTCCCTTGTGGCCACTCACTGCGCTGGCTTAACCAGTGGCACTGAGATTTGTTGCTCTTTTTTTTTTTTTTCCCTGGAATCTACTGTCCTGGTTCCCTGCTCAGTCCCCTTTTTAAACAGACGAATGGATGACTTCCCGTGGCTCCAATCACCAGCCAAAAGGGCACCCGGACTGGTGTAGTTTGTAGGGAGAACCGCTGTTCCGGGGTGCTGACAAAGCAGCTGTGGGGGGCAAAGCAGCGGCAGAGGCCGGCACAGCCGCGCTGGCGACCTGTGGAACTCCTCCGCCTGGGAATTGCCTAGTCTGTGGGCAATAAAAGTGTGGCGTCCACGCACCCTCTGCGCTTTCACTGGGAGCTGCAATCCTGAGCTGTTCCTAAACGGCCATCTTGGATCCTCCCTCTGCCACATTTTCTTTATCCAGTCTATTATTGATGGGCATTTGGATTCATTCCAAGTCTTTGCTATTGTAAATAGTGATGTAATGAACATACATGTACATGTGTTTTTATAGTAGAATGATTTATAATCCTTTGGGTGTATACTCAGTAATGGGATTGCTGGGTAAAATTTTATTTCTGGTTCTAGATCCTTGAGGAATCACCACACTATCTTCCACGATGGTTGAACTAATTTACATTCTAACTAACAGTGTAAAAGCATTCCTATTTCTCCACGTCCTCGCCAGTATCTTTTGTTTCCAGAGTTTTTCGTGCCGTTTAACTGGCATGAGACGGTATCTTATTGCAGTTTTGATTTGCATTTCTCTAAAGACCAGTGATGAGGATATTTTTTGATGTTTCTTGGCTACATAAATGTCTTCTTTGGACAAGTGTCTGTTCATATCCTTCGTTCACTTTTGGATTTTTTTTTTTGTAAATTTGTTTAAGTTCCTTGTAGATTATGGATATTAGTCTTTTGTCAGATGGATAGATTGCAAAAAGTTTCTCCCATTTCGTAGGTTGCCTATTCACGCTGATGATAATTTATTTTGCTGAGCAGAATCTCTTTAGTTTGATTAGATCCCATTTATCAATTCTGTGTTTTTTTTGCCATTGCTTTTGGTGTTTTAGTCATGAAGCCCATGTCTACAACCTAAGTGGTATTGTCTAGGTTTTCTTCTAGGGTTTTATGGTTTTAGGTTTTATGTTTAAGTCTTTAATCCATCTTGAGTTAATTTTTGTATAAGGTGTAAGGAAGGGGTCCAGTTTCTGCATATGGCTAGCCAGTTTTCCCAGCACCATTTATGAAATAGGGAATCCTTTCCCCATTACATGTTTTTGTCAGGTTTGTCAAAGATCAGATTGTTGTAGATGTGTGGTGTTATTTGTGAGGCCTCTGTTCTGTTCCACTGTGCCTAGAAATGGAAGTAAGTTTCTGTCCTGTTAGCTTATTTCAGGGTTTATGATCTTGAAAGTCACAGAGTCTGCCTTTTGTGTATCAATTCTGTTCTAATTTGGATCTTTTTTCCTCACTGGGAATAGTAACTTAATTTCCTTCCAAAATATCTTAAATACTTTCAAAGAAGAATTTGAAAATAGCACTCATGTATTTTTTATGTGAAAGGAAGCCAATTCATTTGATTTTTGTTCATAATGCTGATATTCCATCTACTGGATAAATTTTAACATCTGTTGGATCTTTCTAGTTTCTCTAAAACTCATTTAAATATGTGTGATTAGGACTAGACACAAGCCTAGGAATGTAGAAAGGTGAGTCAGCAGCACTCTGATAGTTAGTTGTGCCTCTCCCACATCCCCATAGATCTTTCAAAATTCAGCTGAAAATTCATCGTTTTTAGGGTGCTTTTCTTGGTTGGAGGCGCTCATCTGGTCTATTACATTTATCCTTGTGGCCATGTTGTGGAGACCTCAGGGTCAGGGAGTATATCTTTGCAATTTTGATTGTATGACCTCTGCTCTATATCCTTAGCTCCTTAAAATACAGTTGGTATTATATTGATTTGTTCTTGTAAATGACTGTGTCTTTGAGCCCTTTCATTTGTTTTCTCTGAATGACATGTAAGCTCATTTTAGGGTCATGGGAGAAAAGGGACAAATCAAGTCTTCTTTTTCTTTAATATTTTTTCTTGTTCTTCTTCCATAACTCCTCTGAACCTTTTATGGGTTATGTTTATGGCTTTTATTTTTTAAGGTTGAAAGAGTCTGACAAAGATCAGATTTGAAAAGACCAATAACTTTTTAAAATAAGTGTATTCCTATAAAATGTATCGAATATTAATTTGTGGAGAATGCTCCAAATGATATCCTAAAAACCTGCTAACCACTATACAATGGGAAAGTTGAGATTCTTAAAGAATTATTTATATTCTAAGACATTTTTCATTTGTAAAACATATTTGATTCACTTTAAAATCTGCCTGTTCTTTTTCATAATAACCCAATCTTGCCTTAATAGTTAGTATTTCTTTAAATATTTTAAACACCCTTATTATAGAGTTACTTTGAGATTGCTCTATTATCTGTGGATCGCTGGGGATGATTTCTTCCATTTGATGTGCCACTCATGGCATTTGCTTTTCCAGCAACTTAATCTTTCATAGCAATTATCTTCTATGTGCTTATGGTTATGAAGGTGTCTCTTTGGGGAGGTTTTATGCTTGTCAGTTACAGTGTCTTACAGAAGAACCTGTTGTAGAACATTTCTATTGGTTTTACTTTTTGAGGTTTCCATTCTGTGTGAGTTGTGTAAGGATTCAAACTCCACATCTGCATACAATGCAGGCCAGGAACTTATTTCTTAGAAGAGATTCTAGTTTGTCCCCACTGTTAATATCTGTGCCATGTCTTTGCATTGGTAGGGGATGTCCTCCCAGTTAGACCTTCCATTCCCAGCTTCCAGGTCAGTGCCAGCTCTTGCCTTTGCATGGCATCAGGCATCTTCCCTTCTGCTTCTTGGGTGTATTCATTTCAGTTACCTCTGTAATTTAGGATTTCAGCTCCTAAGTATTATTTTTGGTTGTCTTTGTCTATGGCACTTGAAGATTTCCTTCCTCGCTTTAAGCTTGGCTATGTATTTTTCCTAATGTTTTACCTAGCATTATTTAAGTTTGGAAAGAAAGGGAGGCTTCCTGCTACTGCTTAGCCCACTCTCTGGACCCAAAATCTTAATTATAGACCAACATTAATCTCATTATTTCAGCAGACATTGTTTCCACTATCCGTTCTTCCCTGTATCTTGCTAATTTTGTCTATAGTGACTATGCCGAACTAAATACTCATTTTCTCAGCTTCCTTTGCAGCTAGAATTGGCCAGATGACATAGTTCTGGCTAGTGAAACTAATAATGATAATAAAGGGATGGATGCATCTGGCACTCTCCTTTTCCTTTGTGTTCCAATTTTGATACTGGACTTAATGTCTAGAAATATAGTAACTCTTTTGTGACTATGAGAGAACAGGCATGAGGACAAAGGTCATTGTATAAAGGATAGTGGAATGGGAAGCTGGAAAGACCGTGAGCACAGATGATATTGTTGAGAAATAGAATCAAAGGCAACATACTACTGCTTGTGGAGACAAACTCTTAGTAGAAGCCATGGTTAGTTGGCTCTTTCTGTTACTTTTGGATGAGCACATTCCTAATTAATATTGATCTCTATTAGTTGCAGTGTTGGTATTAGGTAGCAAAATAAAAGTGGAGAGACCCTCCTAGTGACAGCCTTCCAGATTATACTGGGTTATATGGACTTTTGAATAGTGATCAATTTGTGGCATGTATTAAACAAGAATTGTTAGAATTTATAGATGAGTCAATACATATTCAGCCTACTTGCATTGTGATTTTTAGATTAAAATACTGATATATATATATATATATATATATATATATATATATTTAGAGTTAATATTGTTGGCATCAGAATAAACGTCTCTAAGAAAGTGTTAAGTTGACTTCTTTTGCTTTAAAGAAGAGAATGGTGCTTTGCTTCTATTTTATTATAAATTTTAAACTCTAGCTTTTGAGTTATTCATGCATCTAAATAATATATAGTGCTATATAGCATTTTAAATTATAATACTCTATATATAAAAGATGATAAACATGACTAGAATAGAAAGTTTACAAAATTAATGGGGAAGAAATTATAAATAATTTCTTATAAATGAATAGTATAATTAGAGTGAGGAGTGGAACAATAGATATTTAATTTTTTATTTGATAGGTTTGAAATATAACCTCCAGAAAGTGCTTTTGGTTTTCCTTTATGCATATTCCGAATTGTGTAGTGACAAGATATTACATAAGATGGCAGTAGGAGATTACAAATGTTCTGTATCAGAGTGACATGCTCCAATGAATTGGCCTGTAAAATATAATAAACACAATTATATAATAGCTGTTTTGGATTGCTAGATTTCTTATATATATAATCTTCCTTTACTGCCCATCCCTTTTATAATGGAATGAAGAAAGCTTCTAATTTTTATTTCACATATTTCTTTTAAAGGATTCATATGCAATGTTATATTTCAGTTCACTTTTTTTCTGCCCAACTCTCTAAAAAAACTAAATTTTTGCTTATTTTTCTAGAGCTATGACCTTAGAGCAAGGCAACCTTTCTTAGACTGTTTTAGCATTTCTTAACTATACAGATATTATTGCCTGCTGTAAATTCATAAAAAGTGTATATTTCCAGAGATTATTTCATTATTGTTTTTCTTACATATTATTGGATTTGATATTTTAAAGAGTATCTTATTATTTTTAATCTTAAAAAACTAATCTGAGATGAACTAGATTTTCCAGGATGTAGTTAGATACAAGAGATTGTTGGTAAGCTTTATGTCCTTTGCTGCTTCCAAAAAGATGAATATATTGCTTTCTGCCTCTAACCATTAGAAGGCCCCAAATTAAGATAAGCCATAAATAATGACTGTATATTGATAACAAAAGCAAAAATTGGATGAAAAATTTTAATGTTTATACTGTTTATTTTCTGAAGGAACTTCTGCATTCTTTAATGTCAGTCCAAAAACACCAGGGGATCATCTGAATGTAGACAACTCTGCAAATCTGCTAAATCAGAGAGGAAAACGTCGAATCTATCTATGTACAATCTGTGTAGACTCTTGACATAGATTTGTTGTTAAATCTAGAGAACTGAAGTCCATAAACCAATGGATAAATTATCACAGGAGAAACACTTCATTGATGAAAAATATTATCTTATTTAACAAGTATTCTTCTTATGTAAAGGAAATTACATTTTAATTCTTCCATTATTGGCACTCCAGAATACGAAAAGGTGTGACATTCTTTATATACCTAAACATTGAGGATTTGATATTTTTTTTCTTGCTCTGTTGGGATAAATTCTGTACACTTGGGATAAAATAAGGGGCATATCTTTTGTTTTACAACATCATGCATATTAAACCCAATGTAATATGTTTATCCAAAATGAAATTAAACAAATACGAAGTTATAAACATAATATAAACCTGTTACATAATTGAATTTGATACCTGAAAACTGATAGACTTAAAAATGTGTCAATCAGCAAGTGTTACAAGTCATAATTTAAGAAGAAATTGCAGAGTATTATTATTATTTCAGATGTGAAATATGGAATTTTATGTTTATTGCTCTCTGATCATTTAAACTATATAAGTAAAGTTTTTAATTAAAATGCAAAGTTTATATTACTCTCATCCAGTACATGTTATTATTTCATGTGTATGTATATTAAATATTTTATTATCTTTTTTTGTCCTAGTCACTTAGTTTTTCTTTAGACATTTCATAATGTTATAACAAAAATTAATTTTTAACTTATAGGTTTATATTAACTCTTCATCAGATTTTGCTAGAGAGTAGTAGAATATTCATGGGCACAAAGTTTTTAAATATTCACTTTTTAAAGAGTTTACGTTGTCTCTATTTGTAGTCGTAACTTCACACCTTTTATATTCAGATTTCTGTTTTTCCTTTTCTTCTAAATTCAGCATGCTTGCTATACCTATATACCAATTCTTATCCATGCCTCCTGAGTGAGTAATACAGTTCCATTCATGGTTCCCCAACAAGCTTCCACAATGAGTATCCTTCAATATTTATAGCTGTTAGCTGGGCATCTTTTTATAGTGGGAGAATCTGTTCTCTGCTGCCCTTTACTTTTGGGTCTTAACTGTTTCCAGAAATGCTGAACTAATTCTCTGTCATATAGGCAGCTGTCTTTAGGACTCAGCATCTCAGTTATACTAGATCCTAGATATTGTGCAATCTCTAGAGTTTCTGTTCAGCTCTGCCCAGCAACTAGTGACCTTTTAGTAAGGAGTGCAGTTAATACAATGAAGTGCCATACTGGGGCAGTAGTGGGGTGGGGTTCTGTATGTGTGCCTTCCCATGAAATTGTTCCATGTGTTTATTGTTCAATTGATAAAATTCTCAAAGAGTGACACAAAACTCTACTTTGAAATGCCTTCTGGCCAGGGCTGCAGAGGCAAAAATATGCAAACAGTCCTATAGACTACCATTTTTGAAAAGATTTTTACTTTAGAAAGGAAATCAGTATATTGAAGAGATATCTGCACTCCCATGTTTGCTGCAGCACTGTTCACAATAGTGAACTTTTTTTTTTTTTTTTGAGTTGGAGTCTCACTTTGTCACCCAGGCTGGAGTACAGTGGCACAATCTTGGCTCATTGCAACCTTGGCCTCCCGTTCAAGTTATTCTCCTGCCTCAGCCTCCCAAGTAGCTAAGATTACAGGTGTGCACCACAACCCCTGGCTTACTTTTGTATTTTTAGTAGAGACAGGGTTTTGCCATGTTGGCCAGGCTGGTGTCGAACTCCTGACCTTTGGTGATCCTCCTGCCTCAGCCTTCCAAAGTTCTGGGATTACAGGCATGAACCACTGTGCCCGGCTAAAAACTATGCTTCTTAAAGAGATTTTTAGAGGGTGGAATTTGCTGCCTGAGAAGACATAATTTCATCCAGTGGTAACTAATCCAATTCTAGTTGTATGCTCCAGAACGATCCTATAGTCCTTTGGCGGATGAGGCTAAGACATTCAAACTCAAAGTTAATAACAGCTCTTTCCAACTAATTCCAGATAAAAGCAATCACTTTTTGACCACTAAAAATAGTATGAATGAGCTGCAATGCTCTCTATTAAAACAAAACAAAACAAAAAAACTAGTGGTTCTGACACTTAAAAGCTCCATGACCATGGGCAAATGACTTAACCTCTCTAAACCTTAGTTCTCTGGCCTAATAATGGCATGAAGACTGGATGAGTAATGAAAGTAAAAACAGTGCAGTGCTTACCACTAAGTAAGTAAATGCTAGCTCTGATTATTATATTATTCAAAGATATAGCCCAAATGAAGTAGTTTCAGAGCATACACGGGAGGCATATTCCACAGGAGCAAACTTAAAAAGTAGCTAAATAGCTTTTAGGGAAGATCTTGAACTTCCAGTAATGACAGGAACACCAAAGTGATAATGGAAATAGTTTAAAGTGTATGAGCGTAGATCCAGGAGCTGATGTGAAAGCACTTGGTCTTTATCGCTCTCTTCAGAAGATAATACAGTTAAAAATGATAGCACTTGGATGGGGAGACCAATTTCACACCAAATCAAATGACTGTGTGATGAACTTGGTAATTAAAAGTATTAAATAGCTAGCTGGCTTATTGCCAATCACCATTTTAATTCAACAGGTGCTCTTCAACAGCAAAGCCTGGTTACATTCCCATTAGTTGTTCATACAGAATGCTCAGGCTCATGCGGTTTCTGCCTTGCCGGTCATAAAATGCTCAAGAAATGGCAGGAACTCAGTGTAAGTAACAGATATTAGACAGTTTCAGCAAACTAATTATACTTTCATATTTCTAGTATTCAAAAAAGGATAATTTCTATACATCTGAGAAACATCTAAAAGCCAGTTTCTTGAGGTCTGAAACTCACACTCAGCAATGCTATCAACACTGAAAGTATATGAAATGATTAATGTGGTGTTTCTACAAAGTTTGCCTGACAAGTAAGTAACACTAGAATGCCCCATCTGAAAAGGGTAATGATAAATTGGTGGTTTGGGGGAAATGGCACAGTGGGTGCCAAATTCAAATCCCTGATGTGTATCCTGAGGTATGGAAAATTTCTCAGGCTTTTGCTACTATGAGGATTTGGGAATATTTCTGCTTCCTGAATCTCCTTCTAAGGAAATTTCAGCTTCTCAGTGAGAGGGACTCAGCATTCATTTAGGGACCATTTGTATTGAGATCACAAGAGTTCTTTCTGGGGACATCAGTCCTTAGAAGTTTTTCTATTTAACTCGTAATTACTTTGCTACACTAAAATTCCTATTTCAGTGGGATCACTAAGTTTTGCCAAAGGAAAAAACTATGTAATCAATAGATTGTAATTAAATTCAAATGCCATATTTGGGAACATTGTCTTGAAGGAGGTTGAGGGACTGTTTTCAAGCACAGAAAGCAAGAAAAATTTGGAGATTTAAAAGAACATTCTGTGACTGAACAATGGTGAATAGTCTGGTTTGTTGCTAACACTGGGGCTGAGACCCTGGAGGGAGGCCAGTAAATGACGAAAGATAAACTTCTAGTTGTCTGAAAGGAAAGTGTCAAGTAAAAGCTATCTCCCACTCAAAGCTCTTCTCAACTGTGTGTGCTTTGGCTGTGATTTTCCTTCACAATGTAATTCTTCTTGTCAGCTCTGTGCAGCTGTTAACTGAATTATTGTGGTAACTCTGGCCATAAGTAATATGGGTAATTGGGTAACAGTTACTCATAATAAGAAGAGATTAGCTGAGGGAGGTGGCTCACACCTGTAATCTCAGCACTTTAGGAGGCTGAGGCGGGTAGATCACCTGAGGTCAGGAGTTCAAGACCAGCCAGGCCAACAGGTTGAAACTCCATCTCTACTAAAAATACAAAAACTAGCTGGGCGTTGTGGTACATGCATGCATGCCTGTAGTCTCAGCTACTCATGAGGCTGAGTCAGGAGAATTGCTTGAACCTAGGAGGCGGAAGTTGCAGTGCCAGAGGTTGCACCACTGCATTTCAGCCTGGGCAGCAGAGCAAGACTCCATCTCACACCCAGAAAGAAGAGATCACAAAAACATAAATGGTTGTTATTATTTCACAATAATGTTGTTTTGTCTAATGGGCTGTGCTCTCACCCTGTACTGGAGGTGGGCTTTACCTTTCTCTGCCTGGCATCTCCCTTACTCACCTGTCAGGTAAGGCTGTAGCCCTGTAAACCATGTCCATGTGTACCTTCTGTTTCTGCATCTTTTCCTCTTTTGCTAGAGATACTCCATTCAATCCCACCTTTTCTCCTTGTACACTTTTATTTCTTCTGGCTTGGCTCCTATACTGTTCTCTTTGTTCACTAATTTCTGCTTGCTTATATTTTATGGAGTCTCTCCTTTGCTTTTTGCCCTAACTGAACCAGATTCTGTCCTCCCCTACCCCACCCGTACCTTCCCTAGAATTTTAGCCCTATTCTCTCAGGCAGAATTAATTCCTCCCATGACTTGCTATTGACACTTCCTGCATCCTGCCTTGAAGTATAACCTCTCTCTCTCTCTCTCCTTCTTTTCCTCCCTTCTTTCCTAGCTAAAATATTTGAGTTCCTCAGGGCCTAATATATCTTCAAACCATAAAAAATACTTAATAAATATTCGAGTTGAGGTCTAGTCAATAATTGACATTTTAATTTCCTGTTCTGTCTAGTAACTCAAATTATTGCATTTATTTTTCTTTTTTACTCTCAATTAAAATATTTTAATTCTAAAATAATAAATGACATTGTTTCATTACTTTTATACTTTATGCCTGGGTGGCAAATCCATGGAAATTATTTTCTGTGATAACTTTTATAGGCCTCTAAGGGTGTTGTGGGGATTAAATGGGATAATGTATAGAAGTGCTCCAAGTAGCGTCTGGCATAGAATACAGCTCACTAGCATTCATGTTTTTAATAATTAGAAGGATTGCAAATGTTGAAGTTCTGTGCTTAAATATGTGAACTTAAGGTAAAAATAACATCAGAAAGGAATAGTCAGTTCTCACAAGTACTTATGTAATACTGTTCAACATATTTTCTTGACAGAGATTAGCAGCATTATGACAAAAGTAAAACTGGAGATCTCTAATAGTCTGTGGCATGATTATATTTAGATGGTTGCAAATAAAAAGATGATAAGTCTCTAACTTGTATGAGATGCAAAGAGGTCTTTCATAGGACCATAAATAAACTATTCTAGCTAAACAACTATTTATCATCTTTTCCCAGAAATGCAATGATATTTCTTACATTTAGCTGTGTGCTAATGTGCATGACTTGGCCCAACGTACCATAGTGATTCCTCTAGATCATGCTGATAGCCATGTAAACAGATTCCCAGACTTTATATCCTCCCTCTCTCTCTCTCTCTCTCTTTCTCTGTCTCTCTCTCTCTCTCTCACACACACATACACACACACACACACACAAACACACACACCAGTCCACCACCAGAAGGGTAGAAAGTCTGAGTTTTCTGATTGTGGGGATGAAATTGCTCTGACTCATTTATACTCTCTCTCCTAGGCTTCCAAGTGACAGTGACATATTTATCTTTTCTGATTTAAAGATGTATTATTGATTTTGTAAAAGAGTGTCCACCTGGCCCCCAGAAGTTCTGACTTGTGGTTTCAGTTTCACTGCTGTCCCTTACACACCCCAAGCAGAATTCTGCTTCAT